TAAAAGGATGGAAAAGAATATTCCAAGCAAAAGGCACTAAGAAACAAGTTGCAATTCTATTATCTGACAAAATAGACTTCAAAGTAAACTAATCAGAGGGTCACTTCATTCTGATCAAAGGAACAGTTAACCAAGAAGATATTACAATCCTTAACATATGTGCACCAAACTCTGGTGCACCCAAATTCATAAAAACGATACTACAGGACTTCAAAACACAGATTAACCCCAACTCAATAATAGTAAGGGACTTCAATACCTCACTGTCTCCATTAGACAGGTCAGACAAGCAGGGGTTGCAATTCTAATAGCTGACAAAATAGACTTCAAAGTAAAATAGAAATAAGGAGAGTCACTTCATTCTGATCAAAGAAACAGCTAACCAAGAAGATATTACAATCCTTAACATATATGCACCAAATTCTGATGCACCCAAATTCATAAAAACAACACTACAGGATTTTAAGACAGCTTTCTACTCAGCACCCCATGGAATTTTCTCAAAAATTGACCACATACTGGGCCACAAAACAAAACTCAACAAATATTTAAAAAGTGAAGTAATTCCATGCATTCTGTCAGACCACAATGCAATAAAGCTCAAAATCAACACTGGACAAAGCCCTAGTCACTGCATGAACTTGTGGCGACTGAACAACACACTCCTAAACAATGAGAGGGTCAAAGGAGAAATTAAGAAAGAAATAAAAGAATTCCTGGAATTCAACAAAAAGGACAATACAACACAACACAACTTTGGACATATTAAAAGTAGTCCTAAGAGGGGAGTTTATAGTTCTAAGTGCCTATATTAAAAAATTAGAAAGAGCCCAAATAAATGACCTAACACTGCAATTCAAGGCACTGGAAAGGCAAGAACAAATGAAACCCAAACCCAGAAAAGAAGAAATACCAAAAATCAGAGCAGAAATTAATGAAATAGAAACAAAGAAAACAATACAAAGAATCAATGAATCTAAGAGCTGGTTCTTTGAAAAGCTGAACAAGATAGACATATCCTTCCTTAACCCAGTAAACCAAAAGAAAGAAAGAGCAAATCCAAATCAACAAAATCAGAGATGAAAGGGGAAACATCACAACAGACACCCAAAAGATCCAGACCATTGTAAGGGAGTAGTTTAAAAACCCATACGCTACAAAATCTGAAAGTCTAAAAGAAATGGATGGATATCTGAAATCATGGGAACCTCCAAAGTTAAACCAAGAAGAGATCAACAGTTTAAACAGACCCATAAAATATAAGGAAATTGAAACAGTGATACAAACTCTCCCAACTAAAAAAAGCCCAGGCCCAGATAGAGTTAAAGCAGAAGTCCATCAGACATTTAAAGAAGACCTCCAACCAATACTACTGAAATTATTCAAAACGACAGAAACAGGGAGAACTCCCAAATTCCTTCTATGAAGCTAGCATCACTCTAATACCCAAACTGGGTAAAGACATAACTAAAAAAGAAAACCATAGACCCATATCCTTAATGAACATAGATGCAAAAATCCTCAACAAAATGCTTGCAAACCACATACAGACACACATCAAAAAGATCATTCACCATGATCAAGTAGGCTTTATCCCAGAAACGCAAGGATGGTTCAATATACGCCAGTCAATAAATGTCATTAGTCATATAAACGGACTCAAAGACAAAAACCACATTGTCATCTCAATAGATGCAGAAAAGGCTTTTGACAAAATTCAGCATGCATTTATGTTCAAAGTCCTAGAGGGAACTGGACTGGAGGGAATGTACCTCAACATAATTAAAGCTATATACAACAAACTCACAGCCAGTATCATTCTAAATGAAGAAAAACTGGAACCATTCCCATTAAAATAGGAACCAGACAAGGATGTCCACTATCTCCACTCCTTTTCAACATAGTGCTTGAGCAGTAAGACAGGAGACAGAAATTAAAGGAGTACTAACTGGAAAAGAAGAGGTCAAACTATCACTTTTTACAGATATGATACTCTACCTAAGAGATCCCAAAAATTCCACCAGAAAACTCCTAGAACTGATCAACACTTTCAGTAAAGTGGCAGGTTATAAAATCACTAGCCTTTCTATATACCAATAAGAAGCAATTGGAGAAAGAATACAGGGAAATGCTTCCACTCACAATTGCTGCAAAAAAAAACTAAAATATGTTGGAATAAGTCTGACTAAATAAACCAAAGATCTCTACAATGAAAATTTTGAATTGTTAAAGAAAGAGACTGAGGAAGACACCAGGAGATGGAAGGACCTCCCATGCTCATGGATTGGAAGAATATTGTGAAAATGACCATCCTACCAAAAGCAATATATAGATTCAATGCAATCCCAATCAAAATCCCCATGACACACTTCACAGAATTAGAAAAATTCATCCTTAAATTCACATGGAGGCACAAAGACCCCAGATAGCCAAAGCAACCCTGGGCACAAAGAGCAACGCTGGAGGGATTACTATACCAGATCTCAAAGTATACTACAGAGCCATAGTCATAAAAACAGCATGGTACTGGCACAAAAACAGACA